CGTTTGTGTCAGAAAGAAAAAAAAGGAAACGGCACATATGACATTTCACAACGTAGGTTTTGAAAGATTATACCGAAGTTCTAAAATCTTTGTTACACGTTTTTGCATACCTTTGTGCTCTTTCGTCTTAGATACTTGCCTTCTATCAGTTGCTGAAGAAAAGAAGTAATATATCATGTAACAAAAAATCTACTTCCTGCTTCTCATACAACAGAATCATTAGGCAATGATGAAAAAGCAAAACTGACTGGTAGTTGACATGTACGAGTGAAACTTCCAAGAAACGTTCCACGTTTGGACGCCCTCTATGCATGACTAGAGTATATACTCAATGAAAAATTAATCTAGTTATTTTTATCTTTTCTATAAACAGTGTACAAAATCATCATTTGGTCACATCGTTTGTGCAGATATGGACTTCAAGAATAGCGATGATTAAATCACTGTGATCTCACCTCATAGCAAAGTTGTAAAAGTAATGGTTTCTTCCCCTTTTTTCCATGGAATTCGTTTTCTGATTTACAGTAATTTTATAATCACAGAGATGCACTGACGTTTCTTGCAGGATATAAAAACGTATAAAAAAGAGATGAGATCTGGAATAGGACATGTATTTTATGGGTGTACCATAACAAAAAAGAATACTTTTGATTCTTTTCAGTACCACTCACAATTATCACGTCTGAAAAAGATTAAGAGATGTGTAACAGTCAAAAGTGAACATCATCTAGAGATTGTGGAGCCAACGATAGACCCAAAGAATGTATGATTCTAGGGTACCCCGCACTGAATACAAATAGTGGAAAAAGCTTGCATAAAATAGGTTCAAAACTTCATTCTGTGATTAAAAAGATATCATACAAGTGACTTAACTGAAGCCAGGGAATACACATGATGCTGAAAATTGTAACTTTCCTTGAATATCACTCGATGAACTTGTCTCGCCTGTATCTTTTCCTGCTGGGGACTCAACTAGAAAAAGAAGCTTATATAAGTATTTTTTCTTTCTTCAGTTTACTTTTCAAACCCGCATTTTATTTTCAGTTGTGTAATTTGCCTTGAAAATCGCTAGTCGAGCTTGTCTCGCCTTTATCTGTACCTGTTAAGGAATCAATTTAGAAGAAGGAGCGTCAATGAGTTATCCTCTAGCGAATTTTTAATCCCAGGGTTATATTTCATTTATTCGTTTGGTCAAAAGCTTCCTTTTGGATATTTTTTTAAAACCAAATAAAACACTGCCCAGAAGAGAATAAAAAACTGAACTTTTTGTGAAATTTGTTTAGCTGACTTTCACTGATAACAAGTCTGGTTTAGTTGTTTTTATGGTAAAGTACTTGTACTTAGGTCATTAAATTCAATTCATATGCACGTACTAGATGCGGTACTTGTAGTCAGTGATGAAAAAGCTGCAAACAAGAAAATAAAGCAATGATTTGCAAACCATAACTATCACAGAAGCCTTATGTACTTATGTACTTGTTGTGGTGTGTAGTCTTTAATAGTTCGGTCAAAGCAGTTTTATGAGCAGATTTTAAAAACATTAAAAAGGCCTTCAAGGTAACAATATTTTCTTAAACCAGCAATAGTCTTCTCAAGAAAATAGGGTGACAACCGATCTAAACTGGTAGAAAAGGAACAACAGTTGCCGATAAGGGCCTTTCACTTTCAGTTCTTCAGGGTATGGTTCCTTTGATATGAAACATACCTGCATTGTCTATCACCCTTTAGATGAAAACAGAAAAGGTATATCTATATATTTTCAAATTGCAACGTTTTTTAAACATGTGTATGTATTTTTAATTCACAAGAATGTATGACATTTTTGGACTCCAGATACTCCCACTTATGCACACTTATATGTACATTTCATGATATAAATTGGTTTAGGCGAGGTCATATTAAAATTCGTTCAAACAAGCAATATCTTTTAAATTGTGTTCTTTACCTTTATCAAGTTCACCCAAAATTTCAGCACCAAGGTAACGCCTACTTATGTGGGCAGATGTCGAGCTTGTTGTTCTGCTCCAAAATTTATTAGACTTCCCCACGCAACAAACAACTTTGGAGGTGATGAAACGCCTCATAGTGGCATCGGTTATCACTGGGTCGATACCTAAGGAAGGCACATTAAAGGTTACAGCTTCCCCACAGCCACATCGAGAGGGCTTTATTCTATTATTGACAAAGGAAGCCACCTGACAAGCAAGCCAAATGATAATTATGGATGGTCAAATTTTATAATATCCAAAAAGTAATCATATGAAGAATAATCAATACTTACTTTAGAAACAGTAATTGATCCGAAGAAGTTCTTCAACACTTTGTCAATGTCATTGCAAATTTGCTTTGGCAACTGAACAGATGTGTCAGTGACATAGGATGCTTCCACATAACTTGGCAGCACAACTTTATTGATTTTTTCCTCTACGAGGCTGAACAGCTCTGGCAAGCCTACCTTCTCAAGAATCTGCGTGAAATTTAATAGACAACATATCTTACGCGAGACATGATTAAATAAAAGTCACGATTTAAACTGAATTAATGCAAGATTTTGTTTTGACCTGTAATTTTTGGTTATTTCTATTTACTAAGCTTAAGGCTTTAACTTCCTATTCATGCACTTATTGACTTCGACCTGTTTAAAATGGATTAACCTAATCAGTAAATATGAGAACTGAAGTGTCGGCATATAGAACTGATGTATCCCATCCTAGTGTGGCTATGGAGCGTACTATGAATCTCCATGGCGAACAAACATTTATCAACTTTCTTTGTTCCCCAGTTTTACATTAGTAAACTCACCGTTTTGCATACAAAAACCAGGAGGGAGTAGGGACACCAAGGCCCTCTGATCTATGACTAAATCTTGATCGTCTGCCATCTCTACCAGACGATCCGTAAAATGGTCAATGTCGCCATCGGTGGCTGTGGACAACCTCTGCCTCATGAATGCAGTGACAACTGCTACACTTGCACTTGCATCGGTCATGGCATTTTCTAAAAGTTGGTACCTGTCTCTGTACGTTTTATACCTGTAGAGAGGGTCTAGTGTTTCGAATGGAATTCTCATCCATCGAGATAATACCCTACGAGAAAGTACATGTATATATTAATAAAAATTTCTGAAATTTCCCAGTTTGAAGTTTACATTGTTAGATAAGACATATTTCAATGTTTCTGCTTGTAAACGGCAATTGAAAGCAAGAATTCACGATATACTTTAATTACAAATTATAACAAAGCACACACGTTGCTCCCTACTAATTACTGGTGAGCAGCAATGGTTTATATCCATATATAAGTGCTACCGTGCTGAAATGACATGAAACTGAAGTGAGTAACTGCTTTTAGTATAGACCACAGTTGTTGAATTGAAAGCGAATCAAAAAACTTCTCTATTCTTGTAAAATGTAACCGGAACTTTCAATCTTGCACTCGTTTCTTGGCAGGTGAATACTTCTCGGCTAAAAACCTTCGAGCAAGACAATCAGCCCACAAAGAGAACTCTATTCAATTGTGTGGCGATGCAGTGTTTATTATGAGCATGAATGTACAACATTATTTTCTTACTTGAGAGTTTTTCTGTCAACATTTGTTGTCATGATGTGGAATGTTCTAGGAATTTTTCTCCCATGGTAACTCTTGGTGCCACCCTTGATAAATATTTAATATTATTATCAATAATCGAGCCATTTGAGAATACTAACGAATCTACACTTCTCTCAACATTTAAAAAAGAACATATTAAAGTGCAATATCCCAAATCAAATATAGAACAAGAAACCACCAAAAATAGGGAACCCATTGAAATAGCTAGGATACAAATTGAAGGCTTACTTGGTTAAAGAGGGCTATTACAACTTGCTTCATTGTCACACTTTTTTCACAATCATCCCAACCAAATGGAATGGATGTCTTGCAAACGGCATCCATTATCGCCTTGAAAGTCATTTCTTAAAAAAAAAAGTATTCAATACAGATTAATGGAAAGCACACATCTCCTACAACCTAGTGACGTAAACCTGGAAAACTATCAACTTTAATGTCGTCATTGTCTCAGATGGCACCTGCGTATGCGAGACCATAGAACTTTAGATCAAAGATTTAGAATTAAATGTTTGTGATTTTGGTCTGTGGTTTGAATCGATTAAAATTTTTTTTTTCTATGTAACCACATACTACCTAGTAGCAATCAATTAATCTTCCATGCTGACTAGGGAACAGTCCTCTGAGACTCCTTCTTCGGCTATTCATTGATAAAACTGGTGAACGTGGTAGAACATGTCTAAACAAGGGTAGATGGGGGTAAACGGGGTAGAACATGGGTTACCCTAGGGTAGATGAGGGTGAACGTGTTAGAACATGGCTAAACAAGGATAGACGGGGGTAAACGTGGTAGAACATGGGTTATCTAGGGTAGATGAGGGTAAACGTGGTAGAACATAGCTAACCAAGGGTAGATGCGGGTAATCGTGGTAAAACATGGGTTACCAAGGGTAGACGGGGGTAAACGTGGTACAACATAGGTTACCTAGGGTAGATAATGGTAAACATGGTAGGAAAGGGGTTACCTAGGGTAGATGAAGGTGAACATCGTAGAACATGAGTTAACTAGGGTAGATGGGGGTAAACGTGGTACAACATGGGTTACCTAGGGTAGATGATGGTAAACGTGGTAGGAAAGGGATTACCTAGGGTAGATGAGGGTGAACGTGGTAGAACATGGGTTACCTAGGGTAGATGGGGGTAAACGTGGTAGAACATGGGTTAACTAGGGTAGATGAGGGTGAACGTGGTAGAACATGGGTTAACTAGGGTAGATGGGGGTAAACGTGGTAGGACATGGGTTACCTAGGGTAGATCGGGGTTAACCTTGGTAGAACATGGGTTACCTAAGGTAGATGAGGGTGAACGTGGTAGAACATGGGTTACCTAGGGTAGATGATGGTAAACGTGGTAGAACATGGGTTACCTAGGGTAGATGAGGGTGAACGTTGTAGAACATGGCTAAAAAGGGTAGATGGGGGTAAACGCTGTAGAACATGGGTTACCTATGGTAGATGGGGGTAAGCGTGGTAGGACATGGGTTAACTAGGGTAGATGAGGGTTAGTGCGGTAGAAAATGGTTAATCAAGGGTATATGGGGGTGAATGTAGTAGAACATGGGTAAATTAGGGTAGATAAGGGTTAATGAGGGAGAACAAAGGTAACTGATAGAACAAGGTTAGATAGGACATATCGTGCAACATACATGAAGGTAATAATACTTAGTATTAATGCGTATTAGTTATTGGGACATGATATGGACCTAACATGAACGCTTTACCCAAAGTTTAAATGTCGAAAGTGAATGTCGAAACTTTGAACGTCAAGAGTGAATGTTCAAAGTTTGAATTTTGAAAGTGAATGTCAAAACTTTGAATGTCGAGAGTGAATGTCAGAATTGATATTTCAACGGGCGAATTGTCGAACTGAATGTTGGAATTGACGAATGGAATGTCTGAAAAGATGAAGTGAATGTTCGATTGACAAATTGAATCTTTGAATTGCCGAATGGGACATTCAAATTGCTGAATTCAGTGTTTGAAGTGACGAATTGAATCTTTGATTTGACGAATTGGGCGTTTGAATTGCCGAGTTGAATGTTTGAAGTGACGAATTGAATGTTTGATGTGACGAATTGAATGTTTGAACAACAGGTTTGAATTTTGGTGGGAATGGATACCCATACAGTACACCTTTCAGAAATATTGTGTTATTTGAAGTTGCGGTATAGTGGACGACAAAACTAAGTAGTTCTTGAGTAAAACTGAACTTGATATAAGCCAGATGGAATAGAACTCAAACCATGTAAGACAGCTAAGGTAAAGGCTGCCTTAGTCCCAGTACCCCCATGTTTGATATCTATAAAGGACACAAAGAAGATCACTGAAAAGGGCATCTGGTGAGGGTGAACAAGGTTTTTTGATCTATTTCAAAAAACATAAACAAGTTCTCTGCATTACATTCTGTAGTTAATAACAATAACTTAATCTGAAATTCAGGTCCCCGCATTTCTTTAATTGAGAGACCATCTTGGAGCACTTACCAAAAGGCAAAAATGACTACCTTTTATTAAAAAGTCTCAGTGAAAACTCATTATTATTGTTTACACTAGTACAATGTTTTAGCACATTTAATCTACGTCACTATGTACTTACACTGGCTGGACCGTTCTGATTAATAGTATGAATAGGTGTCACGGCACATCAGTTGCTACTTCTGGAAGATGCCCAAAGTTTAACATTTGCTTCTAAGGTAAAATTTAAACTGCTAGGAAAAGTAATTGTATTAAGAATGAAGTTTTTTGACTTCTTGTAGAGTAGATAATACAAAAATGTGCTTGTCACTATAATAAGGCGTTACTAAGTCGTAACCTAATTAGACTAACTTCTCCAACATCCATGAATAAATGGTGAGGGTTTCTTACCCTTAGCATGAAAGATTGCCAATAGTGAATCAAACCAACAGGGAATTAAATAACAGCAAATCATCTGTCACTAGCCGAGTAACATCAATGAACCGCACTTCAGCCTCAGGTACTATTTTTACAGAAAGGTATGGCAAACATTTTCAATAATATAGTTTGCTTTGCTTGTTGATTTTATGTTCACATCACTTTTCATCTGTGCCTTCTTAGTATACATCAAAGCCTCTAATCATCATGGTCACTAAATATAATGGAAACAAAAACTACCAAAATAACTTGGTGACTGAACTGCATATACTGCAATGTTCAATCTTGGCCCTAAATGTATGTAAAGTCAAACCTAAATAATATTAAATGACCAGGAATCCTTGGCATTGAGAATTGCTGTGAACTCTTCTGCAAGTTCAATATAACACTGGTAAGTTAATGGTAACTCTAGAGATGGTCCACAGGTGTGGACAATAGGCCAACGAGATTTGCCTTCTAGAGTTGTAAAGGTAACAGTAATCGATTCACACAAAATAATGTTAGTCTCACCAGACTACGTCAGTTACTAACCAA